CGTCCCTCCTAAGTGTAAGCTTAATCACAGTTGTTTTGGCCGCATCTATTTCTTCCTAAAATAGGGCCGCACACTCCCTGTCTCTCTTACCTTCTCACCGGACTCCTTTACCAGAAATCCCATTATAAATGTTTGGTTCTTCTTACTGACTTCTTGTTAAAGATGCAGGTAACCAGCCATCCAACCTGGACTTTTGTGTTTTTGACTAACTGCTGAGTGTATATCAGAAATCCATCCCTGCCTGCACTTGTAATTTACATGAAAGTTAAGTAAAAATACCAAATGAGTAATGTAGCCCCAGGTTCCTCTCCTTCATTACTCATATTTAGTGACCAATTTCACTAGATCTGTCCTTCATTGTTTCTTCATCTGTTGCTGCTCTCCATTTCCCAGTACAAACATTCTAAGACTCCAGCTTCCCACCTAGTTTCTGCTATCTTATTTCTAAACCATCTTGTCTCTCAAACCAGATTTTTGCTCCCATGCCAAATTTAACTACTGTGATCAAAAACCTCCTGTCATTCCCCTGTAGTTATCCAATTCCAAATCAACTTTCTCACATCTAACATCGTAAGCGCTCTTCCATAGGCAATCTAGTCTCTTCATAATCTACTGCAACACACTGAGGGCATTTTCTCATCTTTACGCCTTTTACTTACACAGTTTATTTTCCAGCTCTTGTCCAGCAGCCAGGGTTCAGCTAAAGAGGTCCAGTACTGCAATCAGAAGAACTGGGGACAAATCCTGGCCCTTGGTAGCTTAGTGGTTAAGAGCTTGGCTGCTAACCGAAAGGTTCAAATCCACCAGCCGCTCCTTGGAAACCCTGCGGGGCCGTTCTACTCTGTCCTATAGGGTCGATATGAGTCCAAATCGACTGGATGGCAACGGATTTGGTTTTTTGGTTTAAACTTCAATTAAGAGCCCTAGAGGCCCAACCTTATCAGTGTCTCTGTAGAGAAAGAGCTGGTGATCTGCTCTGTAAAGATGGCAACCAAGAAAACCTTATGGGGCAGTTCTACTCTATCATATGGTGTCACTATGAGTTGAAAATCAACTCTGGCAGCTAACAACAAACCTCCATTTCCTCATTCCAACCTGTGGTGAATTAAATGACCCAAATGTATGCAAAGAACTTATTTTCTGCCACCTAGTAACACTTGATTAATACACGCTACTGCTGCTCCTTCTAACCTCTGGGCCTCTTTGGGCCTTCTACTATGAACTGAGTATTTATTCACTGGAGAACATACTGTTTACTTGATGTTGTGGAGGATACATAATTTGTGTACTACTGAGGGCATTGTATAATTACTGTATGAATATGAAGGCCAGTAGACAAATTTATCTTAAATCTAAGTATTAGAAAAAAGTTATGCTTTCCTTGAGGAATGTACCACTTTTTAAAAAAAAAAAAACAACATAAATAAATGATCTCACGTTGGTTGCCAGAATACTGAGAATATCTCAAACTGAATAAATGTGTGGGATACCATAGCTTATCCTGATCTTGATCTTCTTGGCATTTTCTGCCTTCTCTAATGCTGATTTGTGTTTTCGGTTTTCTATCTTACTGTACTTGTAAGCTGTCCTGAATAAATTTTAACACGATTCCGTTATAATAAATAAAATAGATGGCTATTGCCTATTATGACAGAGTAGGTGCCTTCTAATTTATTTGATTGTGGTCGTAGTTTTCCAATAATTACTGGTAATGGAGTCACAGACTATGCAGACAAGGAAGCGAAAGGCTACAGGTAGATGTGAAACAGTGGAATCATAACAACTAGCATTTATTGAGCACTAACTATATTCCAGGTACTGTTTTCATCACTTCACATGAATAAACTCACTTCATCCTTATAACCCCATGAAGTGGAAAGCCAAGGGCCAGCATCCCATGAACTCTAAAGAAGAGTCAGTCCCAAGATTAAGTGCTGTTAGGTGTTAGTCTCAAGAGTAAGTTGTTGTTGTCAAGTGCCATTGAGTTGGTTCCAACTCATAGTGTCACTATGTACAACAGAAAGAAACGCTGCCTGGTCCTGTGCCATCCTCACAAGTGTTGCTATGTTTGAGCCCATTGTTGCAGCCAATGTGTCAGTCCATCTTGTTGAAAGTCTTCCTCTTTTTTGCTGACCCTCTACTTTACCAAGCATGATGACCTTCTCCAAGGACTGGTCCCTCCTGATAACATGTTCAAAGTACGTGAGATGAAGTCTTGCCATCCTCATAAATAATGTACATAATTCAAGGTAGGACAAAAGGGCCGAAAATATTTACGAGGTTTTCTCACCATTCAAAAGACTGAAGAAGTAGCACTGCTAAATTAAACCCTCCTGTTTTAGATTAAAATTAGAGTCCAAATCTGCATGGTATTATGTATTTATTACCTGGGACTTGTAAGATATTTAAGATGATTTCTAACTTCAAAACAGCTTATGGAACAGCACACCTGAAAGAACCTGAGAACAGAATAAGAAAGTGTTGAACGAAGTAGAATAATGCAGACCATCACTGAAAAGGATTTCTAAGAAGGTGTGAGACTGAAAGTATCACAAAGGAGCTAGGACTCGAGCAGGGCCTTTAAGAAAGGGTGAATAGGACTTCTGGAGATACAAAGGAAAAAGCAGGACATGTAAAAGTGTGCCATGGAATAGTCTGAAAAGAAGCCAAGTGTGAGAAGAGGGACAAAGGTTAGGCCTGCCCACGTGTACCACATCTTTGTTTTGAAAAGTAATGGAAAATAAAGGTAAATAGTTCCAACTGTGGAAGGCCTTGAAGATAAAGGAGTTTGAACTTTTTCCTGGGGACACTGGGCAACTGTGGACTATTTTTGAACAAAGTGGTAGTTTATACAGGCAGCTAGATAAAAGCAGGGACATAAGGACAGCAACAAATGCATTTACTCTAGTAATCTAGCCGCAAAGTACTGAGGACTTGACAGCAGCAGTAGGAATAGTGAGAATGGAATCAGTTATTGAGCCATTTCAAATAAAGTCTAGCAAATTTATTACAGGAGATAAAGAGGAATCAATAAACACTAATTACAGGGCATTTAATGTCTACTCAGCAGTCTGTGATGTTTCATCCCGTTGCTGTCGAGTTGATTCCGACTCATAGTGACCCTATAGGACAGAGCAGAACTGCCTTATAGGGTTTCCAAGGAGCAGCTGATGGATTTGAACTGCTGACCTTTTCGTTAGCAGCCGCTGCACCACCAGGGCGTCACCAGTAGAGCAATGGTTCTCAAAATTCATTGTATCTAAAACAAGATTTCTGCCTTAAAGAAGCTTATAGTCTAGTTGAATAACCTCAAGTATCATAAACCAATAAAAATGAGATTATTCTGGTCTAACCCTTGCCCAAAGTCACAGAGCTGATCATTTGTAATTACAGAAGTTCTGGGAGGTAGAAAAAAATGTGGATACCAGAAGAAGCTCAAGTTTTAAGGCATGTAAAAGTGGCCAAGGGGAGAAAGAAAAGTGGCCAAAAGCACCAATTCTTTTTTAAAAAAAATTTTTAAATAACTTTATTGAGATGTTAATTCACATACTGTACACTTTACTCATTTCATATGTACAGTGAAGCAATTTTTAGTATATTCACAAGGTTGTGCAACCATCACAAGAATCATTTTTTTTTCTTGTTTTTTCCCCCTTATTTAACAAAAGTGCCAATTCTTATTCAAGCAGGAAGAAGACTGAGAAATAGGCACTGGCTTTGTCTTTCAGAGATCAGCTTTACAAGATCTGTGAGGGTCAAAGCCAGAGGGTATACATTTCATGAATTCTGTAAACAAAACCAAAAAACCTGTTGCCATCAAGTCAATTCTGACTCATAGTGACCCTATAACAAAAGAAACATTTAAAAAAATAGAGTAGCAATAGAAACTGTCTTAGTCATCTAGTGCTGCTTTAACAGAAATACCACAAGTGGATGGCTTTAACAAGGAGAACTTTATTTCTTCACAGTAAAGTAGGCTAAAAGTCCAAATTCAGTACATCAGATCCAGGTGAAGGCTTTCTCTCTCTGTTGGCCTTCTCATCAATGTTCCCCCAGACTAGGAGCTTCTCTGCGCAGGGACCCCAAGTCCAAAGGACATGCTCTACTCCTGGCACTGCTTTCTTGGTGGTATGAGGTCCGCCTGTCTCTCTGCTCACTTCTCTCTTTTATATTTCAAGAGATTGCCTCTTGTAGATTGAGTCCTCCCTTACTAATATAACTGCCACCCATCCTCCCTCATTAACATCATAAAGGCAGGATTTATAACATATAAGAAAATCACACAATACCAGGAATCATGGCCCAGCCAAATTGACACACACATTTTTCAATCCATGACAGAGGCTTTTTTTTCCCAAGATAATGGAGGAACTAAATGTTTATAAGGATTTTAGGACATACTTGATAAGAATGTGATAAAATAACACTAGGATTAGTGTGGGTTATGCTTTAATGAACATATGCTATAGCAAAAAAAAAAAAAAAAAGAAGAAAGTGAAGTAGGGAGGAAGAAGAGAAAAATTTATCCTTATAAGTGTGGAAACTGAACTTGCCTCAACACTATTATCCCAAAATTGGCAGGAAGTTTTTAGTCCTGCACTGAAGCCAGCTCCCTCTGTTCTGCTACTGGGGCCAGCAAGTATGAAAACACACACACATATACACAAAAGATTTACTTTTAAGGGAAGGAGCAGATGTTGGGAAACAGAGGGTTCACTGGTTGTTTGGGGACCCAAAACAGACCCATTGCTGTTGAGTTGATTCCAACTCAGCTCCTTCATAGGACAGAGTAGAACTGCCCCATAGGGTTTCCAAGGGTATAATCTTTACGGAAGTAGACTGCCACGTCTTTCTACTGTGGAGTGGCTGCTAAATTCAAACCACCGACGTTTCAGTTAGCCCTTAACCACTGTGCCACCAGGGCTCCTTTTGGGGACCCAAGACCCAAGATAAGGTGAGGAACTGCAAGATACTTGTAAGGCAGTTGTACACTCTCAGGTTGGAGCCCTCCAGAATGTTACATTCAATATGTTAGGTTTTTAACGTCATCCCCTTGATGTATTGATCACCTATTCATTAAAAAAGAAGAAAAAAAAGTTTGAAACTGGCTTATAGCTAGTAGGAAAGGAAAATTCAAACTATACATATATATATAGCTATACATATGTACCTCTCCATCTGTGGGTGGTTATGCATATGTGCTTTTGTGCTAACATTAATAAAAGCTCAGGTATTATATTACTCTTTAGTGTGAAGTTGTTGATGTCTGATTAGAGTTGAACTCTGACTGAAGGCTTTCCCACAGTCATTACATTTGTAAGGTTTCTCTCCAGTATGAGTTCTCTGGTGAATAATAAGGGATGAGCTTCGACTGAAGCCCTTTCCACACTCTCTGCACTCATGGGGCTTTTCTCCAGTGTGGATTCTCTGATGTTCAATAAGGGATGAGCTTCTGCTGAACACTTTCCCACACTCACTGCACTCATAGGGGTTCTCTCCAGTGTGTATCCTCTGATGATCAGTAAGAGATGAGATCCAACTGAAAGCTTTTCCACATTCACTGCATTCATAGGGACTCTCTCCAGTGTGTATTCGTTGATGCTGGATTATGGTTGAACGGTCACTGAAGGCTTTCCCGCATTCATTACATTTGTAAGGTTTTTCTTGGGTATGAGTTCGCTGATGTTGACTAAGGTTAGTGCTCCGACTAAAGGCTTTTCCACATTCACTACATTCATAAGGTTTCTCGCCAGTGTGGATTCTCTTATGTAGACTAAGGTGTGTACTTCGGCTAAAAGCTTTTCCACAGTCACTGCATTCATAAGGTTTCTCTCCAGTGTGAGTTCTTTGATGTTCAATAAGGTGTGTACTTCGGCTAAAAGTCTTCCCACATTCATTGCATTCAAAAGGCTTTTCTCCACCATGAATTCTACTGTGTACAATAAGGTCTGACTGGTAATTAAAGGCTTTTCTACACTGATTGCATTTACAAGGTTTCTTCTGTGGGAAGAGTTTCTGGTGTTTAATTAATTCTGAATTATTTTTGGAGTTTTTCCTAGATATTAGGGATTTATCTTCCTTTGGAATTTTTTGTTGTGTATCAAGGTTTGAGCTCAGAATGAATTCACTGGGCTCAAGGCCTTTCCCTCCAGTGGAAATTTCCTTGAGGGTCATTGATACTTTTTTGATCCCCATTTTCTCAAAAGAGGACTTCATCTGTGCTGGACTTTGTATATGCCTTGATAACTGGCCCTTACTTTTACAGGCTTCTTCATTCATATTCCCTCTGAGACTTTCCATTGCTGGCCCTGAAAACTCAGGTTCTTCAGAAATAACCTGATTGGTGTTGATGCTTTGGTTTCAGTTCAAATCTCCCTTTCTGAAAGACATTTAAAATGTAAAAGTCACCTGTGTCCACTGTGGAGAACAAGGGAAACAAACTAGCAGAAAAAAAGATAACTAATTTGTAATTCATAAACACTAGAAACTTTTATCTGGGGAGAAAATAAAAAGGAACAATGGAAGAGACATGAACAAGGCCAGAAGAGATAAAAATGCAGAGTTTTTGCAGTGGGTGAGCACAAACACATCAAGAAATATGGGAAGAGTGACTGGATAATATGCTAAGCCCCCACCCCTCAAAATGGAAATGAGCAGATATACCAGCTGATGAGCAGAGAGTAGGGGATTAAAAGTTAAAATGAGCTGTTAGTTACTGTAGCCAATTTGTCATAGGAAATGAGAGAAAAGAAAGGGGTTAGAAGAGTGAAGATTCTCAAGTGTAGAAAAGATGACTCCTCAAAAAGCAAATAGGAAAGATGTCTCAATCAAGCTTGAATGCAACCATTTTCTTGGCATGTCTGAGAGAGGACAAAATTTCATAAATGCTAATTACAACACTGTGACCCCCCACCTACCCCTCAATCCTTCTTTTGATTAGTTTAGTTATTCTTCTGAACAAATCTACAATCATAGACTATCAAAGATTTAACAGAACTTAGAGATCATCTAGGCCAACTCTCACACTCAACAGATAGAAAACCAGTTGAGTAACTTGCCCAAGTCACCCAGATAATTGTAAGCGCTGAAACTAGAACTCAAGTCTCATAAATATCAATTTGGTGGTCTTTTTATGTCACAACTTACCTAGACAGGTATTTTTGGGCCCTCTCTCCTCTTCAGCTCTGTGAAGATCCAGTATCCACAGTTGTTTTCCCTCCAACTGGGTGATCATGTCCAATTCACGTGCTGGGATTCCTACTGACTGGAAATGATTTAACATGAGGCTGTTGGTGCTGGAGACACAAAGGTATTCTGAGCTCAGTCTCAATGCTTTGATATATTAAAAAGGTAAGACGGACTTTCCCAGGGGCTGTGGTAGGAAGAACTCAAGAAAATGGGTATCTGAAAGGGGCTAAAACTGGATTCTAAAAGACAGTTTACATCTCCCCCTGACTAAAAAAAAAAAAAAAAAAAACCACCTATAGAACTTGTTACTCCAGATATCTGGGCCTTACCTCAGACCTAGTAAATTTGATGGAGCCCAGGAATTTGTGTTTTAAAAAGTTTGTGTGACTTGACAAGTTGAACTGTCCAAAAACAGCCTTAAAAACTCACACTGGGTTGCCTAGACAATGCGCTAGCTAGGACCAGCCTCCCCACCAACATGCTTCTCCTAGCAGGAGAGTCTAACCACAAACTCAGTTTCCCATAGGACTGATTGATTCCTCCCCAGCCAGATAGGCCAAAACTTCCCACGGATATTAAGATTTCCAGATACTAGACACATATACAGACACATAGAAACTCCACTGGGGGAAGTTTATACCTAAAAAAAAAGAAAAGAATTGAAACATAATGGTGAAACTTGGAGGTGAGGTCTCTGGAAAAAGCCTTTCTTTGGTCTGCCTGTTATAAGCATTTTATTTATTTATTTTTTATTGTGCTTTAGGTGAAAGTTTACAGAGCAAGTTAATCTCGCATTAAACAGTTAATACACAAATTGTTTTGGGACACTGGTTGCTGTTCTAAGTGTTTTATACATATTAACTTATTAATTCCTCACAACAGCTTGGTGAGAGAGGTACTAGTTATTATTCCTGTAATACAAATAAAGGACTTGAGGTATAGAGAGGTTAAATAATTTGGCCCAAGGCCAAGTGATAAATCCTGGACTCAAACTCACTACACTACACAGAATTGATTGCCTCTCAATAGGAAAAGAAAGAACAACTGCATCCCACTGTCCATTCCTGTGGCCCCTAAGTGTCCAAGAAACTAAACTCCACTGATTCCAGCAGGTAGTCCCTGGAAGGCTGCAGTAAGCACCAATGGCTAAAAGCCCTATTTACATAACCTAAGGATTAAATTCTCCATGCTACACTGAAGGACCACCTCAGTCCAAGTGACTTCCTAGCACAATTCAATGAACCATCAGATAGAGGCCTCGTGATATAAGCATTCATAGAAAATATGGGTTTTGGTCACAGTTCTGTTGGTAGCTATACAGAAACCAGGGAAAAACAACCAATCTGGGTTTCATGTCTCTTCGTCTGTAATAGGAAGAGATTGGACTTGATTGTTTAGTCCAAAGCTATCTGATTGCTGTCAGTTTAAGATCCTAAACTCTGAGGCATATACCCATCTGGCTAGACTAAGGGGATAGGACTAGAATGAACCTACTATTTTTCAAATCCCCAGAGACATGAGAAGAACCTCCATATTTAAAATGAAACCAACAAAGAGTTCAATAAGGCTGTTTTCTTCAATCACCTAATAATGAAACAGAGTGAGGGAGAGTGAAAGAAGACATTAATAGCAGTTTGTAGGCAAACAAGGAACTGGGAAAAATGTGGCAGACTCATCAAGGAAGGGAAGCTCTAGGAAAAGAGAAATAAATGTGTCTCTGCTTGGCAAGATAATACAAACTTTCAGAAAAGAGGGAAGAAACCTAAACTTGTGTGGAATATATACCTTACAGTGAAGTAGACAGTGACCTTTTCCTCTTCCGCCTCCTCTTGGCATTCTTCTTGGTCAAAGGCAGAGCTAGTGAAAGGGAAAAGACTGTCTTATCCTAAGACATTCAGAATCAACAGTCTAGTAATTCCATTTTTGGCTAATTGAATGCAACCTTAAGGATTAAGAGGTAAGATAAATACCCAAAAGTAGTCCCACCCACTCCCATATTCGAAGAAAAGGACAATGCACATTCATATCTAGGTTTAAGTTCCTAGTTCTTTGATAATGAAAGGTAAAGGGGATAGTTCTGTGCCAAATCCCTCCAAACTCCTTCGGTGACCTGAGGCATATTATTAAGCCTATTTGTCAATTTCCTCACATGTGGTAAAGAGTTCATAGGGAGTATGACAGTAGTCCCCTTACTTCCTCCTACAGGTCAAAACAGAAGGCAGCTGACACTGCTCCACCACCGTAGGGCTGTGCATCCCTGGGAAAGTCACTTGCCTTTCAGAAAATCTGGCCTCACTTTGTAAAAATACTAGACCCAAGAAAACCCTGTGGAGCAGTTCTACTCTATAACACATGGGGTCACCATGAGTTGGATCGATAGCAATGAATTTTGTTTTTTCATAAAATAGCCTTACTAGTACTTACTTGTCTTTTCTCACAAAGTTTTGTGCACATTACAGGTTAAAAGATGGCATAGCATTTCTCAAAAAGAATATCATACACAACCTAAGGAGTTTATATTATTGCTGCGCTCACCTCAAACCAATTAATTTGAAAATTGTGATGGTGTACATTTAAGGATGACCCCCTCACCTGTCAGTTTGTCCTACTGTGGTGGCTTGCCTGTTGCTATGGTGCTGGAAGCTATGCCACTGGTATTTCAAATACCAGCAGGGTCACCCATAGTGGACAGCTTTCAGTGGAGCTTCTAGACTAGGACAGATTAGGAAGAAAGTCCTGGTGAAATACTTCTAAAAATTAGCCAATGAAAACTTTATTGATCAAAAGAGAATATTGTCTGATATAGTGTTGGAAGATAAGCCTCCAGGTTGGAAGGCACTCAGAATACACAGTGGCCATAACAATGGACTTAAGCATACCAATGAACATGAAGATGGCACAAGACTGGGCAACGTTTAGTTCTATTGTACGTGGGCTCGCCACGAGTTGGAACCAACACGATGGCAACTAACAACAACATTTACAGAAGGATGCCCTCAGAGAATTTGTGAGGTTCCCTTTAGTAGCTGCCGGACTAATGCATGGACAGATGCTTTCTTTTTCCTGGCTTTGGAAGATGCACATGAAATAGGGAAGGAAAGGCTGATGCATGTGACAGAAGTCTCAGGGAGAGTCCCCAGATATATATATCTCTGAGAGGCCAGGAGGCCACTATCTCCACAAGGTCAGGGTCATACGCTTATTCAGATTCCAGCCAAGGGGTTTATCTACCATGATGTGGAAAATTTCCTCTCCTTTCTTCCTCATCTTTTAGTTATTTGGGTCATCACTTCCTTAATGCTTTATAGATACTATATCTCTGCCAAATCATTACTGTCTAACTAAAGTGATCACAAAGTGCTGCAGCACCAGCAGACCCTATCTGCACCTTCATGTGGCTCTAACTTTCCAGCCCTAACAGCGCTGACCACCTCCTGTTACCCTAACCATCTGAAATTCTTTTGACGGTGCCACTTCCTCCTATCATCAATTCTCGATCCAGAAAAAATTCTCCCTTATTTCCTACCCTCTTCAGTCTGAAGAAATGACCTCATTCGGAAGGAACCATGTTCTGAAGATTCTGAACTAGCCTTCTGCTTGTGCTTTGCTTTGTGGCACTGGGATGACTGCTTCCTGAGCCTTTGCCAATGTTCAAAGGAATTAGCAGGAGGGCCTTGGTAGCCTCACTTCAAACCGTACAATAGAAATAATCTAGAGTTTCAGCTCTACCAAAAGGTGATCTTCAGGCAACAATGCTCATGTAAATTGGTTCAAGATAAAAACAAATGCACCCACAAAGATATATAGAATTTGCTAATGCATCCACCAACAAATAACACCTACAATATTTAAATGCCATTCCCCCATCATCAGAACCATAAAATAAAGGCTATTGCATAAAATAAAGGCTCTGTAACCTCAAGCAAGGTACTTCATCTCTGTGTGCTTCAATTTCTTATCTGTAACTTGAGGATAATTACCCTACATTATCTCATGGGGTTGTTGCAAGGATTAAATGAGTTAAAAGCAGGTAACTCTTGGGGCAGTGCCCGGCACACGGTAAGCACCTGGAAACATCCATCCTAACCCGGGGTTAGAAGCCCTCCCTCGACCA